GGCAGTGTCACTGGCTCTCATATGTGGGATCCGATCCGGGACTCTCTGGCATCCCAAGCCAGTTCTTAACCAATACGCCACTTGGCCGGCCCTAAAATTATTTTTAAAGATCTCTAAATTACTATCAATTCACATGAGTCAGAGAGAAAAGTAAATTAATTTAAATAGTATTATTTCTAAGACTAAAGGTAAGTGGCTATGACTGCTAACAAGAATCTGAATTTTACAAAAAAAAAAAATCTGAATTTTACCTGTCATCTGGTATGTAAGCTAGTCCTTCTAAGGTGATTCTATTTTATTTTTACAGATTTATCACAAATTAATTTTTTAAAGAGGCTAAACAGTGACAGCTCTAGCTCCCAAGCAGATGTGCATGACGATAGCGTCTAAAAGAGAATACCACTGTGGTTACACTTGAATACACAGTGAGCTCATAGTGTCTGAGGCACTTCCTGTGGGACGCATCCTTTTGGAACGGTGGCTTCTTTTCACCATAGTAACCAAAAGTGGATTGCATTAAAGAGACTAGTTTGGGTACCAGTGCCACCAAGCTCTTTCTTGGTGACTTGTCCAACAAGGAAAATGGTATCATCACAAATGATGTACTCTGAATTTGAGAAAGATCCATAGGAACTAATTGAATTTCTCTGAATTGGCTTTGTTCTAAGCTGGATTTATGTTAAATGTGTCTTAATTAAAATACACCTCTATGGTTCCAGTCCTTTGGAACTGTGGCTCATAGATGAGGTTTGCGTAAAGATCTTGATTTTTTTCATGAAACAGAAGTTTTATATTTTCAACGAAATAGCAATATTGGAAACTGAGTTTGGGTATGAAAAACTCATAGTTTGCATCTCTAGTTGTTCAAATGATGTATCCATCAGAAAGTGATGACACTTTTCTCATGGTTTGAACCTTTTCTATAGAAATTAAATTTAAAAATGAACAATAAAACAGTGTATTATACTTGTAATTTCCTATGGAAACGAATTGAATTTCCATATATTAATGAAAATGGTGAAAACTATAATCTATCCACCCCTTCCCAGAATTACAGCTGTATAAGCCCTGGTAGAAGTTAGTGAATGAATTAGAATCATGATGAAGTGACTATAAATTAGATCTATATGTTCATGGCAGTAAATACAATAATTAAATCATCCTTCTTCTTGATGAAGAGTATTGGCTCTGGAATCAGATTGCTTGGGTTCCAATCCTGGCTCTCTACCTTACTATGTTCTCCTGGAGCTGGTCTCTTTAATCTCTCCTTTGTTGTTTTTTTAATTGTACAATGGGCATTCTAGTAATAATGCCTCTGTTAGGGGGTTTTTATCAGAATTTATTGACATGACTCTTGTAGCAGTTAGCACGGTGCCTGGCATTGTAAATGGCTGTTATTATTATTATTACATGTAATTATATGTGCCTTCTAGCCTATCTTTTGAGTATGTACCTTGTTTCCTCAACTTGATCATAAGCTTTGAGATGGCAGGGACCACTTCATATAATTTTGTAGTCCCTAGCACAGGGGTCGGCAAACTTTTGAGACGGAAGAGCCAATCCTGTCCCTCACAACAATTTAAAATAATTATTCGAGAGCCATAAAACAAATGAAATCACCATTATGTGAATAATATCCTTTAAAAATTTTATAAATGAAACTGATAGTTTTTTCATTTTCAGTTTTACTTCAGAGCCACATGTACGTACCCAAAGAGCCGCATGCAGCTCTTGAGCTGGTTTGCCAACCCCTGCCCTAGCACAATGTCTTATAAATTACTTACATAATCAGCAATGAGATTTAAAACTAAAGGGCAATTTGGGGCTAGATTATTAAGGACTCGACTCTCAGTTTCCCTAGGCCTGCTTTGGACCTGTCTCCTACTCGACTATTATCCCTGAATCCTCTGAATTGTGGCAATGGTTCATGACTGCCTCCTACAATCAACAGCAGCCAATCCAATGAAGCATGCAAACCATCTGCCAAAGGCCCAAGGCTTTATATAGATAGTAGTGCAAAAGATTCTAGAAGTCATGCCATTTAGGAGCTGTTTCTGAGTTTCTTAGGCATTTCTGGCTACTGGGCAGTGTGTAATTTCTTAATCTCATCTAAGTTAAATCATGTAGAATAGCATTTATGCCCCCTCCTTCTTTACCTTTTCAGCTTTTTTACTTAACAGTTTGATTGCAGCTATTCCAAAAAAGAATTAAGTTTAACAAGGGGACCTACAGTTAGTGAAGTACACACTGTGTATAGCAGGTAGATTTGTTAAGGTTGGGTTTCCCTACCAATTGGTGTAACAGTTTCATTTAACCTGGTAGAATCCATAGATTGGATGTAGGCTTTGAGGACTTAAAATATTTTTACCATCACATGAAATATTTGGAAAGTTAGTATAAGGCCTTCGGGTTCTTCTCATTCTTCCCAGCGCTCTGCCAACAACATTTCCTCGTCTGCAGTCAGCTCTGCAGCTTTCTCTTTGATATTTTTTGTCTATTTCCATTCATTCTATCTTAATTTACAAAATAAATTTCTAATTTTTTTTTAAGTTCTATTTTGTCAGTATGTACTTGCAGCCGCACATGAATTTGATTATAGCTGTATGGTGGTGTGAAAAAGCTTGTAAATGGATTCCAAAATGATAGGCAGTGTAAATCATAAGGCACAAAACACTGTGTGTTAAAGCACTGTCAGAAATAAATAAAAATATTTTTGGAGGAAATAACTTTGGAAAGGAGAGAGAACTAGGCCGGGAGAGGAAACAATCCACACCTAGGTAAGGAAGAGTAATATTTTGGAAAGCATTTGAGGGTCAAGGATGATGGAAACATGTGACTTTATTTATTTTTATTAAAATATAAATAACATACAATATATTCGTTTCAGATATACAATATAGTTAATCAACATTTATATACCTTACAAAATGATCGCCACAAGTCTAGTCATTATCTGACACCATAGTTATTACTGTATTGTCGACTATATTCCCTATGCTGTACATTACATCACCATGACTTATTTTATAACTGGAAATTTGTACCTCTTATTCCCTTCCCTTTTTTGCCCTTCTTCCCACCTCTTACCCTCTGACAACCATCAGTTTGTTCTCTATGAATCTGATTCTATTTTGTTTTGTTTTTTGGATTCCACATATAAATAAAATCATACGGGATTTTTCTGTCGGATTTATTTCACTTAGCCTAATACCCTCTAGAGTCCGTCCATGTCGCAAATGGCAAGACTTCATTCTTTTTTTATGGCTCAGTAATATTCCATTGTATTGGGTTGTCGGAAAAGTCATGACGTATTTTTTTCTGTTTTTTGTTGCAAAAAATGTCATGACTTTTCTGACAACCCAATATATATGTCACAACTTTTTTATCCATTCATCTGTCATTGGACATTGAGGTTGCTTCCATATCTTTGCTGTTGCAAATAATGCTGCAATGAACATAGGGGTGCATGTACTTTTCAAATTAGTTTTGCTTTCTTTGGATAGACGCCCAGAAGTGGAATTGTTGGGTCCTGATGGTAGGCAATCCTCCAAAGGTTAAGTCACAGAGGGCAGTTATGTTGGCAATCGATTTGCCAGTGACTCTCCTGAAAGATACACTGGATCTTTATTTCCCAAGGACCACTCATTCAGCATTGTTGAGCAACTAACTTGTGAGGGGACTGCACAGGAAACGGGGTTTGCAAAGATGAAAAGAGCAGTTCCTGTCTTTAAGCAATTTTAGTCTTTAAAACAGAACATCCTAAGAGATAGGTATAAAGTGCCCAGTAGCTAAAAAGAGAAAGCAGCAACTAGAAGCTTGGAAGAGTCCTCAGGACCCCACAGAGGAAGTGAGCGGTGATCCGAAGGACAGAATTTTGATGGGCTTTTGTATCTTTTAAAAATAAATGAAAATGTGAAATAGATCGTCCAGAAAGGAAAGGGTTGGGATGAAGGTTGAAATTTTATGTGAAAGGTTTAAAACACATTTAACTGGAGCAGGAACATACACAGACAAGTGTCTGTAATTGTCAGGAAATAAGGTCCAGACGACAAATGAGTAATAAATGATCAAACTAAATTCGCCCTTGTGGAATCTTCTTCAGGACTTGCATTTACTGCATTCAACCCACGTCTGATTTTGCACAGCATAGGGAGAAGGCTACTTTCACTGTTCTAAACCCTTTTCTCCCCTCGCCCCCTGTAGTTTTAGGACTGTGTGAGGTATATCCGCAGGGATTTTAGACGTTTCCTTCATTTTCCTTTTGAAGACAAGTAATAAAAGCATTTAAATTAGCGGGAAGGCGGTTAACACCCGCAGCCCTAAAACCACTGCACGACTCGTCGCCCGCCTGGGTTCACTCCTCCGCGCCACGCCTCAGGTTAGCCTAATAGCGTTAACGGCCTGGGGGAAGCAACCGCTCCCGGGAGGCGCGAGGCGAGCGTTGCGCGGTCGGGACTCGCAGGCCAGTGTCGAGTTCAGAAAGAAGGTGCAGGGAGGGGGACGAGGCCGGGCAGTGGGATTTTGACGAACAGCTCTTATAGCCAATTGGAAGCCTGGTCGACTTTCCCCCTGCCAATAGGGAGCGAGATCCAGGCTGGGGGGGCGCTTCCCGGGGGCTGCGGCTGGATTCAATCCTGCGCGGCGACAGTGAAGGCGGGGGCGGAGGCTCGGCCTGGGCGGCGGGGAGCGGATAGGGGGGGGAGGAGGGAAGACCGGAAGCCACGGTCGCGTCCCATCCTTAGGTTCGCTCCCCCGGGCTGGGAGCGGAGACCGTGGAGCGAGAAGAGGCTGAATGTTGGCTCCTTAATAAAGGGGAGAGGCCGCTCCGGAGCGCTGTCGCATCCCGCTCGCTCTCGGCACCCACCTGGCTTCTGGGCGCGCGGCCCCTGCGGACGGCCGGGCTGCGCAGACGTCGCTGAAGAGGCGCTGCCCACGGCGGGGACCGACCCGCGGCGTCCAAGGCCCGCGCCACGCCGCCACCCCCACCCGCTTGCCCGCCGGTCCCTCCGGTCGCCGCCATGTCCTCCTCCTCATCCTCCCCCAGGGAGACGTACGAGGAGGACCGCGAGTACGAGAGCCAGGCCAAGCGCCTCAAGACCGAGGAAGGGGAGATCGACTACTCGGCCGAGGAAGGCGAGAACCGCCGGGAAGCGACGCCGCGGGCCGGAGGCGATGGCGGCGGCGGCGGCCGGAGCTTCTCACAGCCGGTAACAAAGCGCGGCGCCCCGTCCGCTGTGTCTGGCGGCTCCCGGGAAGCAGGGCCCAGTGGCGGGGACTCGGCCCCGGGCCTCCCGCCCGCCTCGTTTCCCTTTTCTGCTACGCCGAGCCGGTCGGGAAGCGCCGGCTCTTCTCTTTGGGGTTTTTATGCTTTGCCCTACCTGTTTCCCGCATCCCGAAAGCGAATCTGCCCCGGCCTGGCTGCAGGCCCCGGCGGGAGTCGGCTGCCAGCCCTGAACTTGGGGAGGGTCGCGGGGCGGGGGCGGCGGCGACGCGTTGCTTCCGCTTGGGCGGGGTGGGGGCTGTGGGGCGCGATTAGCTCTTTGTTAGTTTAACTCTTCCGGCTGCTGGCCCGCGTCCAGAGGACCCTCTCTCTTCAGCACCTCTGCCCGAAGCATCCGCGCGCTGGTCCCGATCACAATATGGTTGCGTCGGTTCACCGAAGAATGTATTCGCCTAGGTCCGGAGGAGAGCCGTAACTAAATGACAAATGACGCTCTGGCGCTCACGCCCTAGTTTCCCTGAAGGTTTAAAAAAATTTTTTTTTTCGCTTTTGGCAGGCATGGCGTGCATGCTTTGCTACCCAGTGTCATGGTTATTGCTCAATACAGTTTTTAGCTCTTCGGTTGAAAAAAGTGTGTTGATGGGTGTTAGGACATACTTTCAAGTAAAACAAATGTTAAAACCACCTCAATTTCTCATTGACAGTTTATCCCAAATTTGCTCCACGAAAGGAGGAACTGAAATCAGGACTGCATTAAACAACTGTCCTAGATTCTTGTTCCTCTCGTCCAAAATGTTAGCTGGAGGCAGAAGGGATGTGAAAATTGCTTTTATCCACAGCAAATAGTAACTCAGCTTCAGTTGGATGGAGACTTCAAGGAAACAAAACAAAAAACGTTTTGCCTTTTTTTGGTGCATTAAGGTGTCTTAATGACTTAGATGTTCTTTAAAACATTTAATGCATATTGTGATTTTTTTTTAAAGCAAACTTTACCGGAAATTTTTGAGATAGACTACACACATATATTCTATAAAGAGATTAAAATATTTTTTACTTTTGGTAAGAATCAAATTAGAAGCCTTTTAGGTATTGTTTGAATTTTTATGTAAAAAATTCTGATCGATATCCACATACTTCGGCTAGAGTTTCCAGTTCGAGTTTCCAGATACCTTAATGTGATGGATAAGGTTGCAACACATTTAAAAAAGGAACTCTTTAAATAAAATCGTTTTCTTATGGCCAGATGTTACTTTTTATTTTTGTGCCTAGCTATTTGATATATTAAAAATGTAACTTGAAACTGTAAATAAAGGAGAAGTACATTTCTTCTGTAAAAGTTTCAGTTCAAGGCCAATTCCATTGTGGAAGTTGGAAACAGAAATGTTATAACTGGTTATTTAGATGTATTGGATCAGTGTATTTCTTTGTCAAAAGGCTTGCTTGACTTTTTGTGCATCATGAAATGTCTACCATTAGGTGTCTTGGAAAGATGCTTTAATCAGTTTATGAATTAAAAAAAAATTAAACCTTTAAAAATAGTTCCCCGAATATTAAAAAGAACATATTAACCATTAAGCCAATAGCATAGGGTGTGTTGGGAAGAAAATAATATATAATTAATATATTCAGAGTGCATTGTATCTAGCAGTGGAAATAGCCCTGGGCAGGGCTTGGGGAGTCAGAAGTCTTAGCTAGCATACAGTCTATGTGACCTTGAGAAAGTCAGTTTACCATGCTGAGTTCTCTTAGTCTGTAAAATGTGACAGTTGAACTGTTGTACATGCCTTCCTTACCTGACTTTGTGGTTCAGTGATTAATGTAATACAGCTTTTAAATTACCCAGGCAGGAGTTATAAATTCTAATTTTTGTTTATCTTACTGCTGTTATGTTTCTTACGAGAGGGTGAATTGCATTTATTTAACAGTAGAACCAACACTGCACTGTGAAATCTAATGAATGTTTTTTTTCCTGTTTTTAAACATTTTTCCTCATGTAATTTTTGATACTTTTGAAATCATTCCAACTATGAAAACCTGAGTACATAATAAAATACTATTAGGATAGGAATTTTCTGGATAGCAGTTTACTGCCTAGTGCGTCATCATCCAGAAATATGGTAATTCATCAAACTGAAAAGGGTTTTGGCTCAAACTCAGTGGCCCTTCAACCCAGCCAGAGAAGAAATACCTTTGTGGTAAATGCAAATTAGGTACAACTGATAAGCAAGCTTTTCAACTTTAGTTGGGAAGTTTGTAAAGTGCAAAGTAAGACTTCAAAGATTTACATTGTTTGGCTTTTCATAATTATTTCCGTGAGTGCTTTAATAATATATTCAGATTTAAAGAGGAAAGTGAGTACATTTAAGAAAAACAGTTTTTACAAATGCTCCTAATTTAAAGATGAATTGGTCATTGTGAATGACCGTGCTGTTTTAAGATATAAAGTTAGTTTGGACATGAGAAATAAGAGGTCCTTTAAAATTTGTGTCTTCTGGTACTTATTTTGAAGAGCAAAAGTGATTTAGATTTCATTGGGCTGCATTGTTGAACAAAGCTTGATTATGGAGGTTCCTGCTATGTATTATAGAGTCACTTTATTCGTACAGTTTAAGTTTAGTAGTTCTTAAGTTTAGTAGATCATAATAATGGTAAATTTCTGTACCTGCTTACTTTTAAGAAAGCAGCTTGACTTCCAAATATTAGGGCTTCCCTTGGGAAAACTAATTGAGGAATTGAATTGGGAGGTTACATAGAAAAGATGTGCTTTTATAAAGACTGGTCTCAATAAAAATTTATGGAGTGCTAATTTATTTTGGAGACTTTCAAGTTTTCCTTTTACTCTATTCTGCTAGTGAGTAAACAGGCAAATTCAAGATTGTTAAAGTTGTTTGCTGATGAGGTGAATATTTATTTCTCAACTTTTAATAAATATGTAGACTAACAAGATGGCAAAATGCCAAGATAAAAATGTAGATCCTAAGATTTTCAAGCAAAGGAATGTATTGGGTTGTCAGGAAAGTCATGACGTAGTTTTTCTGTTTTTCGTTTCAAAAATGCGTCATGACTTTTCCGACAACCCAATACGTTATGTAGAGAATCTAGTTTGAACTTAAGATATACTGTTATGCTTTAATGATCTAAATTACAGAGATGATAGGAATGTTATGATGGCTTATTGGATGAATATGGGATGGGAGATGGGATGAGGTCACTTTGTTAGCTTAGCTCTTATAGGAAAGTTTAGAGACCTTGACAGTGAGCATAGTAACTACACTGGGGAATAAAAATTACAAGGATGTGTGCCCTGGAGGTAAGTGCCAGAGCCTTGAGGTTTCAATAGCAGTAATGTTCTATGTTTCCTTTAGCTAAGGTGCTACAGTAAGTGAGGATTTTCAGGCCTAGTTTTGGGAAAGAAATGAAAAGTAGTAGGTTTTACTATCTTTTGAAACTAACAAGTGACTGTTTCTTCAAGTTACTATGTAAAATGAAAAGAGCTGTTACTAGAGCCATAAGCCCAACCAAGGCTGGTGCCTTGGCTCTGCTATGAACATGCTTTGTGACTTAACCTCTCTGGAACTCAATTTGCTACCTATAACATGAGATGGTTGGATTTGATGATCACTGATCTCTTAGCTCATTGAAAAAATAATACTTAAGCCCCTACCATGTGCTAGGTGTCGTTCTCAGTGATGGAGATGTAGTAGTGGAAAAAATTGCATATCTAAAAAGCTGTGATTCTTTGTCATGTAGTGCTTTTATGAAATTGAACATAATTTTTAAAGCTTGCAGTTGCAGCCACTGCAACAGCTCAGACGAACTTAAACAAATTAAAAGAGGGTGGGGCAGAGAATTTATTGGTCCATATAACTGGGAAAGCCAAGTTGTGGCACTAATTTGGGGCACGACTGGATTCAGGGATTTAGATGATAGCACAGACTTGATTCTGTCTCTTTTCATGTTTCCGCCCTATTTTCTCTAGTGATAAAGCTAGGCTTATAGTCTTATAACTAGCAGATAAAAAGAATAGCCTCCCTTCCCCAGTGCCCATATTTATCCCCTAATCAACCATTTTTTGTCTCTCCCTTTCTCCAACTAATCACTGGACTACCTCTGAAGTTGGGGAGACAGAACTGTGTGACTGAGAATACTGACATAGTAATAGGGAGTTGAAGAGTTTTGTTGTTGTTTTTTTTCCTTTGGTGTGTTTAAGTGGAAGAAGGGGGAAAGAGTTCTGGGTAGGCAAAACCAAAGGACTTCTACTACATGAGTAAGTAAATAAATAAATACATAAAAGTTACTTGAATCATATAGCTGTCCTTTTTAATCTTCTGTTATGTGATCAAATATACCTAAGAACTTTGGATAGGAAAATTAAAGAGGGTCCCATATTTTAGATCTGCCATATTGTTGCTTTAAAAAAAGAAAAAGACCAAATAAAGAGAGGTGATTGTTTAATTTAGCAAGAAAAAAAAAGTAGCTAACTTTAAGGATAATGTGAATTAAAAAATGTTTACAGCTGCCTCTTAAAACTAGTTTGTTCTTGGTCCATATGAAGTCTCCATAGTCAAAGAGAGGATAATTTTAAATATCTGGAAATACTGTACTCACTTCTTAGTACTATGTTGATAAATTCTAATCCAGAGAAAGATTACCAGAAAGAAGAAGGCACTTAAAATCACATCATAAGAGGAATGACAGAAGAATCTGGGGTAAACTTAGGTGTGATTTAAGAAATCATTACAAATAATTGTAAGGTTATCATCATGTAGAAGAAGGAAGTGCAATAAGGGTAGGGAGTGCCATCTAACGCTGAACCTTTATTCAATAACTACATCTAGGTCTGCTAGTCATTTTACGTTTGTTTCATTTATTATAATCTTGTGTGATAAGGGTTTTGATTTTTTTCTTTAAATAGTAGTATGAAACAGGCTCAGAAAGATTAAGTAACTAGCCTACTAATACTAAGATCACTGAGCCAGTAAGTGTCCAAAGATTCAAACTCTGGTCTGACTCCAGAGGCCATTTTGGGTAGAAACTATAGGGAGACAGATATGGATGCATAGTATGGAGAATTTTCTAAAATCATGGATTGTCTCAGTGTGTGTTTTCTGTCATTGGAGGTATTTGAGAGGCTGGATAATCACTTGGCAGTGGGTCTGTGTGTGTTTGGTATTGGGGGACGAATTATTGAATTTGGGATTGGTCTTTCTTAATCCTGTCACTATAGGAGGGCAAAGAAGATTGTTATTGTTCAGTGGCCCTTGAGCACATGTTGTGCATGAAGATACTGAGAAAACAAAAAAGCCTACAGACAATGTGCCTGGACTTTGAGTTTACAGTTAAATTTTTGCTTTTCTGTATGAACAGATATTAACGGGCCCTGCTCATTCCTCTCAGATAGAAGCTTCATTTATACTTTGCTGAGCTTCTCTTCTCTTTAATAGAACCTGGTCTTCAATCTTCAATGCCAAAATTAGCACTTAAGATTGGTATTATTAGTGGGCTGGCCGAGTGGCGCGATGGTAAAGAAAAGAACTGGCTTGGGACGCCAGAGGGCCCCGGTTCGGATCCCACATATGAGGGCCAGTGACACTGCCCTCCACAGCTAAAATGCTGAACAACAGCTCAACCTGAAGCTGGGCTGTCGTGAGTTGCCGGCGACGGCATAGCTGCAGCCCCTATGGCAGTGGGTTGCCATGGGCTACCGTGTGTAGCCAGTAGCCACTGTGAGCGGCCGTCCAGAAGCCAGCGACTGATCTGCCTCACCCGGGAAGAGCACAATGATGGTGCCAACTTGGGTCAGTGAAGGACAGCAACTGTCTGTTCCCCTTCCCCCAATTCCCCAATTAAAAAAAATCTAAAAAAAAAAAAAAAAAGGTTGGTATTATTAGAGTTTGTCCTTGAGATAGGCTTTGAGGGGCAGGGAGTTTGGAATGGTTATGACTAGACTGGTCTGTAACCTGCAGTGGGGAAAATAATGCCTCCATTACAGTTGACCCAGTTTACCTAAAGAAGGGATTCAGTAATTAAATATATATATATACATAAATTGCAGTCATACCTTCATGTGCTGGGCTTCTCTGGGAATACTGTTTGATACTTAATAGATTATTAATTAGCCTGATATGTAATAGATATAAATTGATCAGTAGAGAGCCTAGATAAACATTTGAAATGGAAAGAATTTGGGCTTCTGTATGAGAAAGGGTTAAAATTTATTAAGCTGGAGAAGACAAGATCAAAGTATTAATATGTGGATGGGGTAAACAATACTGATTTATTCACCAATTTGGGAATCATATGCATAGTTTGATGCTTCAAAGAGGTAGTTTTAAGGTAGGTAGAAAGAAGCTCTAAGATGATTTCAGATTTCTTATTACCAGTATGTAGTATAGGTAGATATAAGAAAATATTTATTTAAGAAAAGTATTAGTATTTGGGGGGAAAAGGGGGTGATGAAAATATAGTTTGAAAAGTATCTTTTTTAAAAAAGATTTTATTGGGGAATTAGGGGAGGGGAACAGTGTTGGGAAATTGGGGTAAGGGAATAGCCAAGTTGTCCTTTAGTCTTAGTTGTGGAGGGCGCAGTAAGCTCAGCTCCCAAGTCCAGTTGCCATCTGGTTGCTCGTCAGCAGCTCAGGGCAGCTCAGCTCAAGTCGTTGTCTACAGTCTACTTGCGGAGTGCAGCTCACTGGCCCATGTGGGAATCGAACCGGCAACCCTGTTGCTCAGAGCACGTGCTTTAACCAACTGAGCTACCCGGCCACCCCTCATTTGGACTTCTTGAGATTTTGATTTTATGGAGGAAAAACTACGAAATTATGAGTATAAAATGTATTTCTGATCTTTTCTTTTTTTGAAAGGTTTTGTTGGGGAGTTGGGGGAGGGGAACAGACAAGTTGCTGTCCTTTTGTTCTTCAGTCTAGTTGTGGAGGATGTTGCTTCACTGGCCCATGTTGGTATTATCATTGCACTTTTCCTGGGTGAGGCAGATCAGTTGCCGGCCTCTGGACGGCCACTCACGGTGGCTCTTGGCAGCTCACATAGGCTGCTGGCTGCTCATGTTAGCTGCTGGCCACACATGGTAGCTTATGGCAGCCCACTGCAGCCTAGGCCATCTCCGGCAAATCTCGGCAGCCCAGCTCCAGGTTGAGCTGTTGTTCACCATCTTAGCTATAGAGGTCACTGGCCCTAATGTGGGATCCGAACCCGGGCACTGCTGCTCAGAGCTGGAGTCCCAAGCCAGCTCTTAACCAACGTGTCGCTCGGCCGGCCCTGTATTTCTGATCTTAGCATGCTCTGTGTCTGCTGAAATTTTTTCTGAGATTTCCTTGACATTGAAAATAAGTTGTGAGTAACTTAGTTTCACTTCTTATTGAGCGAGAATACTCCCTTTTAAGAAATCATAATTTTCATGCCAAGCATTTAGTTGCTGATTTTACTCTCAGGGTCCTGTTGCTAACTTGTGAATTGAAACTTGGTTTGGGTTTTTTTTAAATGTTTGCTTTTTCCTTATTTCTTTTTTTTTTCTTTTTTTAAGGAGGGCTCAGCTCAAAGTGGCTCATGCAGGGATCGAACCGGCTACCTTGTTCAGAGCACATGCTCTAACCAACTGAGCCACCTGGCTACCCTTAAATGTTTGCTTTTTAAGGCCAAGCTGAATTTACTAAAAGATTCAATTTAGACTTCTAAAGTTTTTAACTAGAAATTATTTTCTCTTGCTAGGAGGCAGGTGGAAGTCATCATAAAGTTTCTGTTTCACCTGTGGTCCATGTTCGAGGACTCTGTGAATCTGTGGTGGAAGCCGACCTTGTGGAGGCTCTGGAAAAATTTGGGACGATATGGTAAGGACAATAAGGACTCAAAAGACAATAAAGGTTCAAAACATTATGGTAGAACAAGCCTTGCTTCGTTGCTCTAGCCTTGATGTTTAACCATTGTATGTATCAAGTTTGCTTATGACTGTATTTCTTTGGAACCTTTTAACCTCTCTGGAATGATGCATGGATGTATTTTTGTGGCCGTGATCACCTCTCACTCCCCAACCAGGTTGTATGTAAAATTGATTATTGCATCTTTCATCTGATTTTCAAATGAGTTCATGATTCCTTCTTAAGCACTGCTTTAAACCAATGAGTTGCTTATACCCTTTATTTTCAGTTTCAAGTAGTGATACTTAAATACGGATTTTTAAAAATTATTATTTTGGAATATTTAGGAAATAATGGTTATTATTTAGGTAAGTGGGTAGATTAAGGGTAGGCATTATTTGCTTAATTATATGTTGCTGTGAGTTCTTGTGCATATCATGAGAGTCAGTGTTTTATCCTAGCTTGTCTTTTTTCTTTTGTATTCATTCATGCTCTTCCTTTCTCTTACTGTAGCTGGCGTATGTTTAAGAATATTAAGTGAAAACTAATTAGAAAAGTGAATCTGCTACCAAAAATAGACACTTAAAAATTCTCTCTAAATTGTTTTTGGAGTATGCCTGTTGTTCTCTTCTTAGTATAAATAATCGAGTTGATTTTATTATTAGTTTTTCCTTAATGAGTATGTTTTTTCCTTAATGAGGGGGTTTTGATTTAGGCATAGTGACACAGACTAAGTCAAAATATATAAACAGGAGAGAAATTTCAGTATATTTACTGAGATAGCTTGATTGCTTCTATTGTATAAAAATTTATATTGAATTTTGAGTATAGAAAAGGTGATGCATAAATAGACAGTGAGGGAGTGATCAGAGATGCCCAACAGAAAGGAATTATTGCTTCAAATGAGTAGGCGTAGTGTTGGTGACACCTTCTATCATGGCATCTTTTTTATTTCTTTGGTGACCTCATTGAACAGTTGATGGCATGACAAACCTGTTATTCTAGCTTATGTACCTCAGCACTGACTGTTATATATTGTTTATCCTTGGAGGTACAAATTGGGAATCCACGTGGGCATAAGAAGGCCCATTTCTTTTTTTTTTTTATTTTTAGCTGAGCCATCCTGCCACCTGTTGGCAGCTCAGCGGCAGCTCAGCTGGGGTCAGGAATCAAACCAGCGAACCTGTTGCTCAGAAATCACACTCTGGAGTGAGCTCTTAACCATCTGAGCCACTCGGCCGGCCCTGAAGGCCCATTTCTTGAGGTATCACTAAGATGACCATCTCACATCTTAGTTACTTGGAGTGGATCTTAGAAGTTATTAAGTCTGTCTGGAGAGATAAATATTGAAGCAGACTCCTTAAATTTTATTTAGACTTGCATGTTGGCCCAAGACTAACTCCATTCACTATAAGGACCTTCTAAGTGGCACATCGTCCCATGGAGTTATAAAGAGATTGTTATTTCTGGTTTATTTTTCTTTTGTTCTTAACATATTTAGGGCTTTTAAGTTATTTCTTTAGAGCCAAGAAATACTGAAACAATGTCAGAAAAACAAGTTGATGAGCACAGATAGTTGGAAATTTTAATGTTCATTATGACCATGGCCTGAATGTTGGGGATTAAAGAAATAGAACTATGTGTTGACCTTGGTGAGTTGTTTGAGTTACTTTTGGGTGCCTGTTCATTTTTAAACTCTATACTGTTTGATACTTAGTCCATGGTAAAGTGTTCCATATATGTTACTCAGTTAACTTGCATAGTACATCATTTTATCCTCAAAATTGGTAGTTATGGGGATAGAAAAGTCGTGAAATAATTGGAATGAATCAGTGTATAGTTAAGAGTTTAATTGGCATAAATATGAATAATAGGAGTTTCAGTTGTATGAAATGATATTGAATAAGTGGCTGCTATAAGTGGGAATTTTGAAGAGCCTCCAGTGAGAAAGGAATAGGTGTTTTGCTGCAAAATGTTGCATTTACAGAACCTTTCCCTGTTTGTTTATTTTGTGATATGTATATGGGATTATAAATATTATATAGAAACTGCTCATGTTAAAAAGGTGTCAGCCACCAAGTTCGGTGTAAAGTAATTTTATATGTAAAAACTAGAAGCATAGGAAAGAAAAGAAGTTCAGGAGAAACTATTACAAGATGTTGAAAATGGTTATGTCAGGATAATAAAATTACTATATTTTTTGTTTTTATTGTGTAGTATATTCATGTATTGTAATCAAAAGAAAATTTAAAAATATACTCATATACTGAGTCTCTTGTCCTCCCTTCCCCCCTCCCATTTTTTTATTCACCCCTCCCATTAAAGGAGAGGATGCTAGGTAGTGATTAGCTATAACAGTTTAAAATTTTATAACAAAACTTTTGAGACCTAATTTGTGTAGTAAATCTTTTGCCTCCTACTGTTTCTATTTAAAATTTAGTAAACATGTCTCAAGCTGTAATTTGGAAGCATCAGACCCTTAGCCTTTTTGTTTATTTTTTCTGTCTTTGGCTTTTCAGTCTTCTTCATATTAATGCTTTTCAAAGATATTTAAACAAATTATGTGCCAGACAATTTAAGTGCATTCTTAAAATTTTTGCGACATTCTAATTTTCCCTTCTCTGTCTTCATATGATACCACTTTCCTGGGTAACCTTTTTAACTTTTAAGTCTGTGCTTCTAGCTCCCTTGCTGTAGTTATAGAAAGCAGTTTTACTATGACCAAGTCTATAATAGGCCAATAAGGAACTGATTTTTTGAACCTTTTTGATTTTTCTGTTTCCCAAGAGCCAAAGGTCATTATTAACATATTTACCTGGTAATATCATTTGGCTATTCAACCTACTTATATCTGTGAGAGAATATTTATTCTTTTAATTTCTTTAACATAGACCTGATTCCTGGGTTTTTTATTTTTTGTATGCTCAAGACTTTGGAACTTGAGCAAGGAGTCTGTGTTTCTAAAGGGAGTGTTTCTTTCCTGGAATTTTTATCATATTTGTAGTTGGTAAATCTTTAAATCCATTGTTTTGGAATTTTCTTCTTTAATTTTGCATGATGTGCGTTGGGAGAGCTAACAAGTCTCATAGACCAATAGATATTGATTGAATGAATACCTATTATGTGCCAGGCTATGTTTCTGGATTTGGAGGATATAATGTATAAAGATGAATGAGGCAAGGCAAGCAGTTTGTGTGCAGTAACTATGATTTTGACAACAACCCTCCAAGTTTTATAAATGATGAAGCTGAAATTCATAAGATTATATAATTTGCCAGGCTACCAAGTGGTATGTTTTTATTACTAAGAAACCATTTGCCATTTTCTAAAGTGTAGCACTAGGTCCTGGTTGCCTGGTTGAAAAGCAGTGTTGTCACTGAATACCTGACTTGATGTTATTTCTCTGACCCTCTACTATTATGAAAACCATGTTAATTGTATTTTAAAACATTTTGAAGGTCCTAGTTCATGTGAATAGAATACATGTTTCCCTTGTGATTCACGTACTCGGATTCTCTCTCTTCCTTTATTTCTTTATTTTAAATTTCTTTTCAAGAAAGCAAAAGTTATTTATTGAAAATGAAAGTGCACACTTGAGAGGAAAGTGCAGGCAAACTCAGAGAAGGAGCTTTCCATTTCTTTATTTTTCATATCATGTTTTAAGATCTATTCTTCTCCCCAAAATAGTATACAGTGAAAAGTAAATACTTCACCCTTTTGCCCATAGGCAGCCATGATTACCATATTATAGTGAATATCCTTTCATGGATTCTTTGATATTTAAACATATTTTGGAGAAGACTGTTTGCATGAAATTTGGTCAGTTTGCTGTTGCTTTATTTTTGGTTCTCTGTTTTTAGTAAGATAAATGAAAGTATAGTCAGTTGTTAGAGTGGATACTTATTTATTTGTAGTAGTTTCTGTTGTTAGGGGTCCCATCTGCTAAACTTCTGTTGAGTTTTATCTCTGTTGGTTTCTGTATCTAGGTATTTTCTAATACTGCTTGGGAGTAGAAGCCTGAGGAATAAACTGGATGGTGTCATTAATAACTGATAACAGGAAATTGTGCTTGAGGAAGGCTTGTGATGGATAAGCTTTTAATCACAGGAGGATAAGCTTTCAAATATGCACCGTCTACCGGGCTTAGCACTATTTATTTGGATGATGTTTCAGAGTTGACTAACACTGGCTATAGGTAGTGAAGAATACTGATCTGTGTGATTTGACACATTTTTATTAAAGTCTGCTTTTACTTGAATGAGAACATACTGTTAATTGAACTTATATTTGGGTATTGCCTTCCAATCTCCCTTTCAGCTATGTGATGATGATGCCATTTAAACGACAGGCTCTAGTGGAATTTGAGAACATAGACAGTGCCAAAGAATGTGTGACATTTGCTGCAGATGAACCTGTGTACATTGCTGGTCAACAGGCTTTTTTCAACTATTCTACAAGCAAAAGGATCACTCGGCCAGGAAATACTGATGATCCATCAGGAGGCAACAAAGTTCTTCTGCTATCAATTCAGAATCCTCTTTATCCTATTACGGTGGTATGAGAAACTAAATTAAAAATGATTTTGCAATTTGCCTCTAGAGTGACTAACCTATAGTTTTTCTTCACTGCCATCAAGATATTTAAAAATAGTGTTTTTTAAAGAATTATTAAAATTAATTTTAATTTTGACTATTAAGTTTAATGAACAAAGAAATGGTGAGCACTGAAGCTAAAAAGGTTAGAAGCACAGTTGTCATAATTAAATAAGCACATTTAAAAATTTTATTATTTAGCATCAATGTTAACTCTTTTGGTAATAAGGGATTAGACAGACTTTTTGGAAATGATCCCAAAATCTCTCCCACTCATATGCCAGCATATGTATTGAGAGCATCTACTAGGTAATGACAGACTCCCATAGTACAGTAAGATGTATATGTCATTTTAAGCTCTTTTGAGGTAGCTTGTTAAAAACCTGGGTGATTTACTTAAAACTCTGAATATTAGTAAAGAGGTGATATTTAAAAGAAGTGATATTAGTAAAATTTTAAAAAGCATTCGTGTTCTGAGCCAGTTGAGTTTTCTACTTTATAATTACATGCTGTTTCACAATAAGCTAGTGACAAGGACCCTTGATTTTTGTAATGAATAGAAGAATATCACAGTAAGGGAAGCTTCTAGTAAGCATGTATGATATTGCGACATAAACCTAAAACAAAGCATAAAGTACTATTTAAATTTAATTAAACATGTGTTTTTATTTTCATAATATTTATACTTATTAATCTATTTACAGTATTCTGTGTTTTGGGGGGGAGGGGAAGAATATAACCTAGTACAAGTACTCTGGTTTGTTTATTGCTGTATCCCTAGTACCTAATGGTGCAGCTGTGTATTTGTAGGTACTCAAGAAATTTCTTGCAAGTTGAAGAATTATTCCTAAGTGGGTATTTAGGTTCTCTCTCAGATGATTCAGGCATCTTGTTTGGTGTCATCTAACAATGTATAAAGGATCTTCCCTTTTGTCTTTTCTCAGTAGCCATTGTCTCTTGAAAAATGGATACCGACTTGTTCTACTACCCCTTAATAAATATTTATTACCATAAATATTTTTGTTATTGCCAATAAATATTTATTGCCATTCAAGTGATTATAATATGAAACATTTGAGTCACAATTTTGGCGTTGTGTATTGTCAGTATTTTAGTCAACTGTTAAGAAAATAAAAATTGTGGAATCATTAGGAGATCAAGAAGGTAAAGAGTACTTTTTAAATGTTTCATTGGAACTTCTCTAATATGTGGGTATATTGTGTAGGTGAGGAAATAACTTTAAATTTATTGAAGTGTAACAATTTTTAAAAGTTTAATTAGTAATTAATAGAAGTGACATCTTGTCAGTTTTTTTAGTAAAACAAAACAGTGTGTAGCTTTAATGTTTTTCCAAATATAAAATCTGAAGAAATCTTGTTTTCTTTCCTTTTTAGGATGTTTTATATACTGTATGCAACCCGGTTGGAAAAGTGCAACGTATCGTTATATTCAAGAGAAATGGGATACAAGCAATGGTTGAATATCCTTTCTTGATAAGCCATTCATTGATATGTATGAATGCTGTGTAACACAGATCTTATTTTTTCCTGTGTAATCATTTCTAGACAGGTGTTTATTCCCCCCGATCTATTTTTCTTAGGTTTAAAAAATGAAACTGCAGTACCCATAAAGAATTTTACTGCCTACCGTAAAACAGTTCAGTGCTTCATCTTAACAGTCTGGTTTGCCTTTTTAATGAGGAAAACATAACACTGTTTCATAATATGTACATTTGTACCTTTCTTTTTTTTTTTTTTAAGATTTTTATTGGGGAATTGGGATGGGAACAGTGCTGGGGAATTGGGAGAAGGGGAACAGACAAGGTGCTGTCCTTTTGTTCTTCAGTCTAGTTGTGGAGGACGTTGCTTCACTGGCCCAAGTTGGCACCATCATTGCGCTCTTCCCGGGTGAGGCAGATCA